GGCACGCCGGCCACCCCGGCCCCGCTGGAGAGCGCGTCCCGCTGAGCCGCCCTCGGACTGCTGCTGCCGCCGCCGCCACCGCTGCTGCCGCCGCTGCCACCCCCGCTCCCCAAAAGACACGGACTGCACTCGATGCAATTTCCTCAGCTACCTGACTCGTGTGACCTCCGAAACGACCTCTCTAGCTCTCACAAATAATCCTCACGGATCCTCAAACTGGGCTTTAAGTGGAGTTAAGGCAAATACCGATCTTCTCTGTTCTCTCTTTGGTCTTTGTTTTGGCTTTTTTTGGTTGGTTTTCTATCAGTTGGGGGGTTGCGGTTCGGGGGATTTTTGTTGGTTTTTTTGGGGGTTTTGTTGTTTTTTTTTTTTCTTTTTTCTTTCTGGATGAGGGATTTGGCTGCAGCCTCGCCACGCGCTGACGCCCGGCCCTGGCCCACATCGGCGCTGCCGAGGGGCTCGCTTGGAGGAGGCAGGAAACTTCTTTTCTTTGTCTCCCTCTTGCTTTTTTTTCCTTTTTTTTTTTTTTTTTGTAAAAAAAAATAAAGAAAATAAAAAAGAAAACGTCGGACTCTTTGGCTTTAAGTAAGAAATTGTAAAAAAGGGGAAAAAAAAGAAACCTGCACTTAAATAAATAAAGGGAAAAAAAAAGAAAAAAAAAAAGAAAAATCCAAAAACCAGACGACGCCAAGTCAAGCCGCGTGACGGACGCTCACCTGTAACTACCTTGCTAGCTAGCCAAGAACAGACCAGACTCACCTCTGCTCCAAAGGAAATCCAAAACCAAGGAAGATCCAAACGTCTCTCCACTGCCAAAGTTCGTTTCGTTCTGTTGTCGCTTCCTTCCCTTCCCCGCAAGGATGGACGGACGCGCCCCCGGGGCTTTAAAGAGTTAGTCCGGGATCCTGGCTGCATATTCGGCGGTTGTAATTAAGGCTGTTAAAAGTTTTTTTTTTTTTTTTATAAAAAAGCAAGCCCCCGAGGCGGGGGAAGGGGGAGATGGTGGCTGAGAACCGCCCAGGTGGGCGCAGCCGGAGCCGGCACATCTCTACCTCTGCCCGCCACAGCCCTGGAAAAAAGAGAATAAAAAAAGAGATTAAGAGACAGATTTTGGTTTTCTCCCTTCCCGAAGCCGTCGGGGGTCGCCTGCGGCCGGACCCCCCCCAGCCCCTCGCTGCCGGGCTGCTCCCACACCCCGCGTCAGATTTATTTTGCAAGGATTTTTAAGAGGAAAAAGGAAAGGGAAAGAAAGTGAGCGCCACCTCCTTCCTGGCCGAGGAGGCAGCCAAGGACAATGTTGATTATTTTGTATTTCTCGCATCATTGTACAAAGCGCAGAGGACGGGAGTGCAATACGGAAAGTCCCCCGGCTCCGAGAGGAGGGAAGCCCCGCGCGGGGCAGGAGTGCTGTACGCTAATGTGAATGTAAATAGTGTTTTGCAGAGGTCCAAAAAATAATAATAATAATAATGATAGTGATAATAATAAGAGACATTTGCCAAATAAAAGATGATGAGAACCCGCTGGAGGCTGTGGCGTGGGGGAGCGAGGCTGGCCGGAGGCGAACAGAAGTCGTGTGCTCGATAGGAGCTGTAGTTTTTCCGCATTTGCAAAAACCATCCTGTGTGTTTTCTGTAGGGGAGGAAGAGGAGGGAAGGGCTTGGGGCCGGGTCGGGTTTTGTTGCCAGTCACCCAAGGGCCCGGGCTGCCGGCGCTGCCTTCGCAGCTGCCTCCTGTGATGGCCGTGCCGCCGTGCCGTGCCGTGCCGTGCCGTGCCGTGCCGTGCCGTGCCGCAGCAGAGCTTGCGGGGCGCCCTTTTTCCGGTCTCGTGCCACCAGCACCGAGCCTTGCTGCAGCTTTGCGCACCCCGAGGCCTCGGTGCATCCCCCCAGGGGGGGATTCTGTGCACCCCAAGGCTTCAGTGCATCCCCCCCCGGGGGGGTTTCTGTGCACCCCAAGACCTCAGTGCATCCCCCCAGGGGGTTTCTGTGCACCCCGAGGCTGGGAGCTTTGCCGGTGCCCCTCGAGTGACTGTTCACTTTATTTATGGTGTGACATATGTAATATTGTCTATTTTTCTTACGTTTCCTGAGAAGAGGTAATATATAAGAGTATTGCAGAAGCACCTGCTGCGGGGCCGCCTGCTCCCCCGGGTGTCCATCCCGTTCCTGCCCTTCCCGCCACCCGTGTCCCCGCGTTCCCCCGGCCCCG